TAATAAACTATCCCATATAGAACATTGACAACGTGTTTGAATAAACTCGTGATCTGGTTTAAGAGAGACGCGTGTTTTGATTTATTGTATCTTTCTAATTCTATGCAGGTAATGGAAATATTATCAAGCATGTGGTTTTATTGTGCTATTTGTATTATTTCAATATACGTATGATCAATCAGGTAAGTCAGTAGGAGATGAACGTTCTAAACATGATGAAACGCAATATGCCTCACGCAGCGCACGTTCGAATTCAACGCGTGTTGTATACGTCAAATAGTAACATTTGTCTGAATCTTCATTTTACTATATCAATGATCTTTATTTTACTCTGGCTGAGATTCTGACTGAATCGTACGCCCTTGTTGTCATTATTTTGAGATACGATAGGTCTTTAACATATAATCTCTTTTACACAACTGTTACACAATGACCGGTGTTGATACACATTCCGGGTATTTTTATTTTTGAGCAGGCTTCTACCTTTTAAAGTTTGATTTACCAACAGCTTACATTATACAACGTACGATTGTACAGTGTGGTACGATGTGTCAGCAGTATGTATGTAGAAGTGCGAATTGTTGTTCGCATGTCTTCACGCTCCCTGATAGCGGGAATGGAGAGGGGTGTAAAAAAGAAATGGAATCACCTACCTCAACAAAACTCATGGAAAGCAGCTAAACCATCAGATCGCTCTTCAAAACAAATAAATCTTCGATTTGCAAAGAATGATATGAAATCTGTCTAATGACTTTATTAAGTCCTCATATTTACCGAATCAAGGTACATATGTTTTTTATTGGAGGAATATGTTTATTGTCATAAAAAATAAACTTTTTGGATGCCATATTAAAATTATGGCTTCTTTGTCAAGGAAGCATCACAGCTTTAGCCGATAGAAACTAATGCTAATTAATATTACCAAAGACATTATTGTAGAAAGCTAATTACAAATATGCAAAATTTTGTTTCACCATTTGATAGAAGATAAAATGGCGTCTGGTTGGAAATGTAAAATCAAGACTAATTTATGAATCACCGAACTTATTGTCATGAAATTATTATGTTTGTTTTTCTTCAAAATCAATGCCGACAAAACATAAATTCTATGCAGAGTTAATAATACAAATGCTCGTACAATTTTTATTTTAAGATTTTCAAGAAGTTGCAAACGAACACACCGCCGAAAACACTAGGTAAGATATATTGTCTGTTGTATAGAATGGGCCGGGCGAAACGTGAAAACGTAATTTGTAAGGCTAATTCTACTATAGTTACGATAGTTAACACAAAACCTGTTTCCTGCTAGAGCTGTTTTATTACTGAACAATTATTGGGACTCTACAGATGGAGGCTTGTCCAGTGTTAACCGGCAGATTACTTTCATGGCTAAACAAACTGGAGTTGAAGTATATGCTACTGCACTAAGCGCTAGTGAGGATGACAAGAAAGATGCCGAGAAGAATGGTATAAAATTGATTGTTGCTGACAAAAAGGGTAAACAGAAAAAAAATATGTCATGGCTAAATATGCATCTCCACACTCATTTCCCGTATCTGTGTAAAGTGAATATAAGCGTCATTATTGCGCATATGTTATATACGGGAAATGAAGCTGCCCAGTTGAAAAAGAAGTGTTTTCGTAATTCAAAACTGTTCTCATTTTCACATGTGACCCCAGAAGACTTATTGATGGATGCAGAAAATAGGAATAGTAACCATTTGCAAAATAAATAGGATGACATAAAATGTCAGGCTGTCTCATCTGATGCAGTGTTTTCAATTGGTCCAAGAATTTTCCATCATTTCAATCAT